CTGGGGGGAAGTTGCTTGGCCCTGGGAAGGGCTGAGGACCAACTGGGTGTCAACCTCCTCTTCTGGGGTGTCCCCAGTGTGGTCCATACCCTCCATACCCCCGTAGTGATGCTACTGCTCCCGGCTAGACTAGGCCCATTTAATTACTTATAATTTTATGTAAGTGTTGATTTACCATTCAATAATCAATTAGGTGAGAGCCATGGTAAATTCAGTGTTGTTTCAGGGGGAGCCAGTGTAGTGTAGTGGTTTGAGCATTGGACTATCACTCTGGAGATCCGGGCTCAATTTTCCAGTCAGCCATGGAATGGAATCCACTGAGTGATCTTGGACAAGTCATGCACATTCATCCCCAGAAAACCCCATGATAGGGTTGACATAAGTCAGAAACAACATGAAGGCACACAATGACAACAGTTGATTCAGTGGGACAAGCAGCTGGATTTAGGCTCAATGATTCCCCCCACCCACTATTTTTTGCCTTACTCATTTATTGCAGTTTTAATTTTATTTTAATTAATATAAATGCATATTTATAGAAAGTGGATTTTGTAGAGAATAATTTTTCAGAAGACATTTTGAAGATGTGAGAAATAATTAATCAAGTAAACAGAAATATTTAAATATAGGGTTTTTTTAAAAAAAGAGGAAAGAAGGGGGATTTTTTTTTCTTTAAAAAATAAATGCGGCAGCACCTTTAAGACTAGTTTTTATTTTTGCAGGAGCTTTCATGAATAGCAACCCACTTTTTTAGATGCAGTACTGAGTAGTTTCAAGGCCTCAGATATAAAGTATATTTATACAGCTGGGGGAGTGATCCAAAAAGATGCAGATCATGTTCTTTGCCTGCAATTTTCAATGGGCTGCCTAAGGTAATACAGAACATTAAAATGGTTGGTTAGTGTTGGTGTGTGAAAGCAATATATCTGCTTACCAAAACTCCATTTCCTTGGGTTGAAAATTCCCTCTGAGAAAATTTCTTTTGTTACATGTGCAATATATGTACAGTAGTTGATTACAAACAAAATTGAGATTTATGCAACTCTATTTATTTTATTTGTAAAGGAATGCAAACCTCCCACCTTTTAATATTTCTTTTGAAAAATTCTTAGCTTCTACTTTTTACTTATTTAATTTTATTCTAAGTTATGTATTTATTTTAATTTAAATTCATATTGTGATTCTTCATAAAAATACATTGCATTC